TGGGGAAGTTGTGGTGGTGTGAAAGTTCGAGGATGATAGTGGACGCGTCGAGGAGACGCGTAAAGTGGGTGGGGTGGTAACACACTTTTGGAACCCCACTGGTATCTTGATCCTTTTGTGTGGTCACTCTGGAATCGTGACTCCAATTCAAGCTTCGTTTCATACCTCAATCTGTTCAATACTATTTGGTTGATCTAAGCTTACTTGAGCATGTAACTGTTGGCTGCCCAACAGTTATGAGCCCGGCTACGCTCTAGAACTCCCGGACCGACAATCCCGCAGCCAACACAAGCATTTTGGCATCATTGAAAGAGTGATAGAACCGACGAACGAACCCACGATGTCGCTACCGAACACGAACGAACGATTCAGCGTTCAGCTGACCTCGACCAAGGACTGGCGAGGATGGAACGACACATTCATCATGAAGGCGAGGAACCTCGACCTATGGGATCAGCACATCAAGCCGTCAAGCCAAAGGCTTCCTTGGCTGACAGCTCCGCAACTTCCACGGATGAGCGACTTCGAACGAATCCCACATGTCCGAACTCGGAACCCCAGACGCAACGATCAGAATGGGGAAGAAGAAGAATCCGCGACCCTCGAAAGGAACCAGCGACGATCAGATGCCAATCAGACAAGACTCCACGAGGAGGAGAGCCGAGACAACGACGACGAATCGGATCAGTACTACGACCCCGAAGACGACATCATGCTGAGCAATCTCACGGAGACTTGCAAAGCCGATTACCACGCTGCGATGTCTCGATACAAGACCCAGAAAGACGCCTACCAGATCCAAGCCAAATCCGTCCTCACCCTCTCCAACTGGGTTTATGACACGGTGGCACCCCATCTTCGAAAGACGTGTTGTCGTCCACAGAAGACTCTCGTCGAGTGGTACGCAGCACTTAAACGACAAGTCGGATCGACATCGGGCGAGGAAGACGAAGAAGCTCGCGACAAATACCGACAAGCGGTCAAACCACTTATCCGACACCCGAAGGACATGCGCGCTTGGTTGACGGCATGGGAAGAAGCATTCATCGAAGCGGTCGAGATGGACGTTCCAGATACGTTCAAGTCAGTCCACTGGTGGAGAGACTTCACCAGAGCCGTCAGTGGCATTGGATACGAGGCCTGGTGCCAGTCGTACCAGATCCAGAATCAACACCGCATCTCCGAAAACCGTCTCTCGTATCGAGACGTGTCAAATGCATTCGCCTACATGCTGGCAGGAAAGACGACCGCTGCAGCACATGCGAGGAAGCCTATAAGAGGCGGTTTTGCGACATATGCAGGTCTTTCCACCGACCATACCGACGTCGACACCGATGCGGACGAACCGAAGGAACAGCCGCAACGCCGTGCCCGCCGTCAAACTCCCCCAAGGGGCACGAGCAAGAGACGGAGTTCCGACAGCTCAAGGAAGGGTTGCAAGGCATGCGGCCAGGAGAGTCACTCCCTGTCCAAATGCTTCTATGTATTCCCTCACTTGGCTTTCGAAGGATTTAGGGTCAATCAGCGGACCAAGAGTGCCGTTGATGAAGCTCTCAAAACCGACTCGAGTCTCAAAGAAGAGGTCGAGGGGATCAAGAAGAAACCAAGGAAGGCCCATTTCGAGGAGAAGAAGACGAAGGAGGAGGATACTGTCACAGAACAGTTGGATTGACAATTGAGGAAGATCACCGAGATCAAGGGCAG